TATGATTCTATGATTCTATGATTCTAATTGTGTAAATATCAAGCCCTCTTCCCTCTATTTGATATTTAAAACCCCTGCATATTACATGATCTTTTGTGGAAACCAGGTTGCATCTGGTCTAAGCATTGCTGGGTCTTTTACCACACCAGGGGAACTCACTTCCCTTGGTAGTTTGCGTTGATAGCCAGGCTTACAATGCCCTGCACTTTTTTTAAATATCTGCTCTAAATCACCAGAAGGAGATTACTGAATCAAACAGTTTACTGAATTAAACTAATTATACTTTACAGCTCTATCCCCAGGGATTCTCTGCTAGATACTCTTAAGTAAATAGAAGACTTTACATGGGTTTTTCATGCATTGTTTGCAGGGTTCCTAGGTGGTGCTGCAGTAAGCCAACAGGTGTTAAATATTTTTTCCCTGATTGCAGCTCCCTTACAAAACTCCTAGAAGGCAGATATGCAGAGAAGCCGCATACCCCAGCTGTGACTAGCTTAGAACTCTTTTACAACTAAACCCTTTATTTCTAAGGTGTATCATCTTGCACTTTCCAACACTAAATTTCTTATACATCTGTCAACAGTCAACATCTTAGTTTGTCCGAAAAGACAATGGGTTGCTTGGGTTCTTCTGGTACATATCAATGGCATTCCTAAAAACAAACAATTTTTTGAGAGGAGACACTGAAGGTTACTCCAGATACAAATTGCTGATCTAAGTGAAATTAATGACAAAAATCCCAAATTTGCTGAATCAACATTTCCAAGGAGGAAATGCTCCAAGAGGGAGCCTCTCTTTTCAACTTAAAACTCTTTTGCCCATTTGCTCTTTCCACTGAGCACACACACACTCACAAAATGAAAAATAAACACTTAAAGTAGCTACAAAATATAGAAGCAGAATATATATAACACATGACACACTTTGTAAATGATCAGAAATATATGCATGTTTTAACTGGGAAGAGAATATTTAAAAAACCTTGCATTTCCTTCCAATCTTATTTGCTATATTCATGCACATCATCAGTACAATCAGCCACAAGTTACTAACAGATAGATGCTTCTGTAACTTCAATCTGATGTAAAGGCACTTATTCAAACCCCTAAATATTTGAATGCAAGGATTCTTGCTTCATATATTGAAACTAAGCCTTTTTACGAATAATAAAACAAGTTGTTTTATCGTATGAAAACTTCTCAGTGTAAAAATTTAATGCAGCCTTGAGAAAATTACTTTTACAGAGTTCTCTCCACTAGAGGTCTCTAGAGAAATACAAGAAATAGTTCAGAATAACAGATAACTTGGACTTTTCTTCTTGACACTATTTACATTTCACGGAAGATGAAAATCAGCGCTTGTTCTATACTTGTTCCAGGTATTTCTTTGGATATGCTTCTTCTGCTGTGGATAATAAAAATTCCTGTTACTACAATGATAATTCACGTCCATGAGGTGTTTTAATTCATTTAATAATGAGATTTTCAACATTTATAATTAGAATTATACATCACATCCCTTAGGAAGTATAATATTGCACAAAGTATTTAGCCAAAGAAAGAAAAAACCTAAGGTGGCTACTTGGTGGGGCAGACAACTTGCTAAATAAAGAACAAATTTAGATAAATATAGTAGCAATGATCACAACTGAATAAAGTGTTGGTTAACCAGAACAGTATTTTACTTGCAAATTAGAAAATGATTACTCTGGTGTGGTGTTCAGCAAGCCACGATATCACAGGCAAAACAAAGCCTGGCTTCTTTATTTGCTTTTATATCTGGGCTAGCATAAACATAAATGAGGAACAGGATTCATGTAGTTGGACTGTTTTTTCTTGATGCTTTCTGTTGTTTTTTGTAGATTTTTTTTTAACTGGAAGTTTTTAAATTTCAAGTTTGTGCAATTTCCATTGGGTTGATGATTTTCAGAATTGTCATTTCCAGTTTAAGATGAGCTTTATCCATTTTAGGATCTGTGCATTTTTGCACCACTTACCAGAGCAACTCATTCAGTGGTTTAGAGATTTTTCAGAAAGTCGATCTTATGGTAATTTTTTTTCCCTTCTATTATTTTATTTCAGTGGACTTTATGTCTGCATTGACTCATTTTTTACTGACATTTGCCTCATTATATGTAATAATGTCACCAAGTTTGCTAAAAGGTTTAATGTTGATCATCCTTTAATTTGGTTAATTAATACGACTTCATATTTGCGTATTTCTTCATCACCATTTTCTGTGCTGCCCTACCATCTCTGCCACCATGTCTGATATCATGTTTGACATACAACGATCCTTCAGACCTTTTCTTCTATACCTCTGAAGTGGAAAGGGGAGTTCTATAGCAATGTATGTAAGCAGAAAGCTGAATGATCTTGGAATCACTATTTGTCCCCATTATGTTGAGCACCTACCAGAATCAAATACAAGTGGAAACAGAGAACAGTAAGCTATTATTAAAAAGAACTACCAGTTTAAGAATTATAGCCTACTTGGGAACTCACTTACATTAACAGTTGGTGTTCTCTGCAATTTAAGACTAGGTCATTATGCAGAAAGCTGGAAAAATCTGGAAATAAGAATACTTGCCCTATTCAGATTGCTCCTTCTTTAACTGTAATGGATAGCTATGTAAATAACAGGAGACCAGCGCATGCAGCAGCATTAGTTTGTACTCATTTTTTGATGCTACGTGGTAAGTGTGTAACAGAAGAACATGAGCTATGCTGAGCTGAGAGACTCAGGAGGGAGGCAATCCTGAGAAGACAGGTTACTGGGACAGTTCTGGGGCTTTCTGGAGATTGTCAAGTTAATTTAACAGGGTGTCTTCTAATTTTTTCATCTGTAGAATAAGAACTGCAAAGGATAATCAACTGAGGCTAATTAGCAGCTTGAAATGTCATGTTAGACATCTAAGAATTTACATTCCTCACTGTATTTCTTGCTGCAAAGACCAGGAGAAGATAAAAAGCTCTGAGAGGAATAGAAGGAGCGCAGCAGTGACCTTCTCTGATATTATGTCACAGAGTTGACCCATCACCTCCATCGGCTGATCTGATGTTGGTGGTTTCAGACATGGAGTTTTACTGAGTTTGTTGCAAAGAGAGTCTAGAGATGCTGGTACTTCCATGAGCTACCTTGAGTTATTTGAAAGATGTGTACCTGCTGAAACAGAAAAACAGTCACCCTACCATTTAACCGGATGACCCCATTCTTAACCTTAAAAACCATGAAGTGCCATGGTTATGTAAGGCATGATCTTAGTCATCAAATGTCTATATACCTATGCCTAGTTATAACCTTTACCTATAATGGAATACATTACCCATAGGAAATAATAACTGTCTCTGCCCGCTACTCTTTGCCCCATTTTTCTCTGTTCTATAATGAGAGGTATTTTCCAGGAGCGTCAGTCCAATACTGCATCCATTTCCAGTTATTTACCTGACTGCTCACGCTGGTTTGGAGGAAGAAGCTACAGCAAAATACCATCATTAGAACTAACCTTACTTTCATAAAGATCTGAAATGATCTAGAGACTATACTTTGAAATTGTATTCATACACAAACACTTCTATATAAATGGCAGATTTTTCTTCTGTGACACGAAAACTTCAAACTCTTGGACTGCAGATCAAACACCAGCTGTCCCTGGAGCCTTAAAACTGTCACTTCACTGGGGACTTGACCCTGTTACTTCATCCTTCTGCCTCAGTTCCCTCATCTACAGCTCAGAATTACATTTTCTTTTTACTTCACAAGAGAGTCCCAAGGACTGAGTAAGAAATATATATACAAAAATTTTCAGATATTCAATGATTTTTATATTATTACATAAAGCTCTGAATAAAAGCATTACGTAATAGCAACTGTTATTATTAGAACTTAAATTAATATTTAAGCTAATACTGCATTTGACAGTGTAACTACTTTAGAATCAGAATGTGGGTTAATACAGCTTTTTTTCCTCAAGACAAAAATATTATTCCAAGTTATTGACAACAGTATTGCTTGGGACTTTCATCAACTTCATGAGTTAAACAGCTCATATCTGATAACTGTGAGGACATGGAAAACAAAGAAAAGCAGTGCAGTTCTTATGGGAACAGACATCTTCCTCTGGTTTTGAACAAAACCACACGCAATGATCACGACCTCTGGATGCTTCGGTGCTATAAATACCAAATCGTAAGTCAAAGTCTAAGCTTCTCAAACTTTCTCTGCTGTTGTGTCACCAGAATAAAATGCTAAGCCTTCTGTAATAAGGAAGAAATTAGTCAATCGGGGATTAAAAAAAAAAGGTTCATATGTTTAATGTATGGTACTAATTTAGGTTACTGAAGCTGGCAGCAAAAGCTGCTGTTCTAAAGAGGGTGGTACAAAGTTTCAGGTTAATCCTGTGGTTCCCTCCCACCACCTTCCAACATGTATATAAATTGTCAGCTCTCCAGACCCTTTGCCAGTTCTCTCTTCTAGACTTGCCAGAAGCAACAGAGGACTAAAGATGAAGATCTTTTTCTTATTCACCTTTTCCACTTTCTTGTTGTCTGCTTTTGAACAAGCAGCTGCTTCTGCTCACTATGACAAGATTTTAACTCATAGTCGAATAAGGGCACGCGACCAAGGGTAAGTAACTGGGTTTGATTTCTATTTTAAAAGGGAGCTTGTTAATCTTTATTCTCCCGTTTCCTCTCACATTACATTAAATGTAATTTTTCACTATGAATACTTACTATCATTCAAGTAGAACTTTTTTTCTCAATTAATTTTACAACAATTGATCCTAAAGAAAAAGATTTCTAGGAAGATTCAAAAGGAAACAGAATACTGTTAAATTTCATAAAATGTGGAAAAATCTAAAATCACTACTTCTCAATTAATAAAATACATGCATTTTAGAATCATGGAAGTTAATTACAGTTTGCAATTAATGTAATGGGATATCACATATGTTCAGTATATGTTTTCAAGTGTTTGAATAGAGTTGATACCTATTCCACAGTATTTGCTATCTTTATTCCATCCTAATGAAAACCATGAACTCTACTTAAATGCCTTTTAACATGGGAATATATACTGGAAGCCCTTTGTGATACTTCTGTTCCCACTAGAGCAATGCAGCAAGCTGCTCGGCAGGGTACCCAAAAGACAATACTTACAAGCCAGGCTGCTCAGAGACATGGAAATGATTTGAACAGCTGCTGTCAGGCAAGCACATGTATCTAAACATATTTTCCTTCAGTTTTCCTAATTAAAAACATTCTGTGAATAAGAATTGTTTACCATCCTATCTTCCTTTCTTGAATTTCCTCTGCCTTCTACACACACACACTGAGCTTTCAAATAAAGAAGTTCACTGGCTTCCCAGTGATGTAAAATATATGTTCTAACTTTTGAATTTATTATTTTTTTTAATTGTAGAATTCGAACAATTAGGATTCTTTGCCTTTGCTCCATGGAATTTGTCCTTCAGAAATTCCTCTTCTGTACACTACCATGCTAAGGAAAAAGTATTCCTCATTTGAAAACTATGACTCCTTTTATTTACATGCCAATTTACCCTTTGGTCCGCAGTAATTCCCAGAATGTTTACCTAGGTGCCTGTGGTACTCCAAATGGTTGGTAATGAAAATAGCTGATTGATTTACAGAAGACAGGGTTTCCTTCTACATAAAGGACAAGGCACTTTTCTTCCCTATCTCCCTAAGGCCTTCAGCTGCACAGATGTGTGTAAACTTTAATGAAAAGAGCCTGATGGTATTCACAGCTTGGTCCCTGGTGGCTGGTAATTAATTCACTTTGCAGGGGGAAGGGAGAAATATAAGGCACATTGAGACTTGACAAGGTGCAGCTGGTGATCACTGCCCATCAGAGACAGAGGGTCAAAGCAGAAAGGACGGGAATCTTCTGTCCCTGCCAGGAGAATGAGCTTGCCAAGGAGCCCAGCTGGGCAGTCCTGGGAGCTTAAACTCCGGTTGCTTGAAAACACACCTGCTCTGGGAACTGAAGCCAGAGGTTTATTTCTTACTTTTGCTCAACAGAAATAGTATTTGCTACTATTGTGTATAAAATATTGCTAAAGATGTACAGAGACTTATTTTTAAAATGTTTCTCACTTCTGCCCATAGCCCAAATGTCTGTGCCCTTCAGCAAGTTATGGGAACAAAAAAGAAATACTTTAGCACCTGCAGAAACTGGTACCAGGGAGCTATCTGTGGAAAGAAAGCGTAAGTATGCTGTTTCGAAACTGTTCCTCATTCATTGAGATAACATAATGTATGGTTACAAAACTTTCCTTTATCAGAGGCAAGCTAACTGTTTTTTCAAATGCAGACACAGGAAGAATTCAGTTCGTAATTTTACAGGGTTACGGCTTCTCTTTATCTGCTTCTACCTGGATCCAATAACTGTTGCCAAAAATAATCAAAAAAGGAGTGGAAAGTCTGAAAGTGACAAAATAGTATATAGTCTTTTTTAAGCTTAAAAGCCTTCAAATCATTAGTTTCAGCAAAAGAGCTATGAATGTTTAGCTCGGAGAACCATTTTAAATGCAAAGAGATATGAGGTTAAGTGACCCACCCAAAAACACAGAGGGACCTAATAGGCCAGTTGTGAAAAGAGCTCAGCACTAACCAGCAGAGCTGTGTGCTCAGGCCACACCTCTCCACAAAGGAAAAAAAATAAAGGTTGTGGAAACAGATTAAATCTGAGTGAGTTTGGCTTTCTTTTGGAGTCTGTGTGAACATCAATTGTCACTACTTGGAACGCAAGTCATTGCCTTCTCTGTGACAAAATCAGTACTGCTTTGTCAGCTGTAGAGCAGCTTCAGAGTGTGAACACAAACAAACCCCCCAGTCCTTAACTTGGTATGCCCCACTTGTCTCACTTAGAATTAAGTAATTTAACAGACACTGACATTGTTTACCCCACACAATAAACTAATGTTTTTCTTGTGGAGCACATTTTCTCTTCCTGTTATGCAATTACTTGGATAAATTTCTCAGTGCTTGTCATAGGAAATATTTTTTTTATTTTCCCATTGTTCTCTTACAGGGTCCAAATAGGTCTGGGGTGACATTTTCAGAAAGGCTTGAGTGAACAGGGAGTCCAGGTTTCAATTGCAATTCTGGCTTAGGCTATTAGGAGTCTCTTAATGAAAACCTATA